AAACTAAAAGATATAAAGCTAGAGTCAAGATATTGAGATATACATGTAGGAAGGAATAGAATAGAAGAGGTCACAGAAAAGTTGTGGACAGAGAAAGACGGAACAAAGACAGACGAGGAATTGAAGAGAAAGAGATGGGACAAGATGGAAGGTGGGTAAAGGTGAGAGAAGAGAAGAGAAGAGAAGGGAAAAAAATAACTCGCGTATAGAATGCAAAAGAGAAAGATATGATCGTCACGGGTGGGGTATTGGTGCGAGTGGCTCATCGGGAAAGAGGGATTATAGGTTGGTTGACGAGTTCCCTGTGTATGTGTGTACAACACAGAGAGAAGGGCTCGAGAGAGGGACAGAAAGTCCATGCAGTGTGCCAAAGAGTAGTAGCGCGTGCTCGCAAAACTTTGGCACGTCCCTCTAACCACCCTTCAACCCCCGCCGCCCTTTTCTTCCTTTTCGTATTTTCCTCCCTCCCTTCTCCTCAGTCTCCCTACGAAACGCCGTATAGTGGCTCCTCTTTCCATTTAATACCCGTTCTTCCATTTCTCCACCCGACCCTTTTGCTCTTCTATGTTCCTCCTCACGTTCCTCTCTTCCTCTTGCCACTACTGACGCTGCTGGTTCTTCCTTTTCTGCCCTCCTCCCCCCCCTGCCTTCCACATAAACCCTGAGGCAACTCTTCAGAACTCGTAGCGGTGCGCGCCTTGCAAGCGACACGACAGCAGCTCTCCGATTATCTTTTGTCCGATCATCATCAGCATCAAGTTGCGCGCATGGTTATAAAAGAGTTTTTCGATGAAATTGCATTTGCGAGAAAGTTGACGTGCAGCGCCCTCATTGTAACCTTCTTTTTAACTTTTCCTGCTTGAATGAACCGCTTTTGTAGTTTATAAATGTGAATTTGGCACTTTGGACTATACTCTCTAAATTTGAATCAGTTAAAAATAACTGATTTAGAAGCAAAAAGTCAGTCACTAATTCAAATCGTAATTATATTCCTACAGATTCTATTCGTAACTATATTCCTTAAAAATAAGTGATTGTCACTTAACAAAAACTCATTTTTCTATAAATTTTTTTTAGTAATTCAATTAGTTAAGTTTAACTACTTTTTCAGTTATTTTTTACTGAAAATGAGTAATTTCTTCACTGCAGGGTTGCCACGCTTTTGCTCTTTTCAAATTCCCCAACTTTTCCAGAGGTTAAAAAACAGAATTTTTCCAGGTTTATATAACGAAAATTATTCAAAAACATCAATAACTTCATTTCTAAATAAATGTTTAATCATTATTTTTTTTTTATAGAAATTAAGATATTCAAAAATTTGAAATTCATTAACATTTAAGAATATTATTACAAAACATGAAGAAAGCGATAACTCCGAGTCTTCGACTCGGAGTGATCACTTTCTTCATGTTTTATAATAATTAAAACCTGCTACTTTGTTACTTTAACTTCTTCAAAAATTATTTTCATCTAGACGATTATTCATATCTAGAATTTTCAACTAAAATTCTTCTTTAAGTCAATTTTTTAAAAATAATTTTTGAAAAAGTTCTTTGTAAATTTTTAAATTCTTTTGTTTACAATTTAATTTTACGAAATTTCAATTATTCTGACATTCTTCAATATTAAATATATTAAAAATTAAAATTTTCAAAGATTTTAATTTGAAATTCATTTTTAAATCAATATTTATTAGAAAATCCTATGAGAATTCAATTATTTAACTATAAAAATAAATATTTTATTAAACAATTGAATGTTTCTTAAAATTGAATTTGCATAAAGAATTTTTATTAACAAATTTTTAAATAATTGAATTCTCTTGACAAATTTTAATAAAATTTTTAAGAATAATTGCTTTTTTCGAGAAATTTGATGAAAATTGTATTAAAAATAATTGAAATAATAATTGAATAATTAAAATTTGAAATTGAAATACTGACAAGAATTTTATTAAATGTTTCGAATATAATTGAATTTCGAAGAAAAATTTTATTATTTATAAAGACGATTAAAATTTTGACGAGAATTTTTGTAAATTTTTAAACAAAAATTGGATTTCTGCGAAGAATATTACCTATTAAAATTATTTTGAAAAAAATTGAATTGTTACGCAAAGAACTGCATTAAAATTTTTAAAAATAATTTTATTTTTTAAAGAAACTTAATTAAAAATTTATAGAAAATAATAAATAAATTCTAGCAAAGTTTATTAGAATAATTAAATTTCTCTGATAAATTTTAATAAAAATTTTAAGAATAATAACTGTTCTCGAGGAATTAGGTACATTAAAATTGTATTAAAAATAATTGAAATTCAGTATTGAGTTTTATTATTTATGAAAATAATTCAATCCCTGTGAAATTTTTATTCTTTATGAAAATAAATTAGTAGAATTTTATTAAATATTTTTTTAACTAATTTAATTTTTTAGGAACTATTATTAAAGTAGTAGATATTAAAAAATCATTTAATTGAGGAAATTTTTTTAAAATAAATAAAAATTTTACCAAGAATTTTATTAAAATTTGTGAAAATAATTGAATTTCCGAGAAGAATTTTACTACTTTTGAAAATAATTGAATTTCAGCAATCATTTGTAATTGCTTCAATATTCAATTTGTTTTAGTGTTTTTAACAAAAAATCTTCTATAAATCCATTATTTTTAATAAAACTAGTTAAATATATATTAAAAAATTTAACTAATTTCAGAAGAATTTTAGTTTAAAAAATTTTTTTTAAATCTAAGTTTTTTATATTTTTAATTAAATTCATTTAAAATGGAAATTGTGCAAAATTTTAAATCAAAATCTTTTAAAGTTCATCTACTTATGAAAATTGTAAACGCAATTCTTTTAAAATTGAATTATTTTTGAAATATTTAAGTGAAATTAGATTTCATCAAGAATAAACACAATAATTTTAGAAAACAACAATTTTCCAGGATTTCTATTAAAATTCACTGACTTTTCCAGGTTTTTTCAAGGTTTATAAAATTCTCCGACATTTCCTTTAGTAAAGTTTTTGGAGTCGCTGATGACGAATATAAAGTCAGATTTTTAAAATTCAAAATGGCGGATTCAATACGTCCGATGAAAAAGTTGAAAATCAATCGGATTTGCTTCAATCTTTTTACTTGGGGATTTTTTACGGTTTTTGGTTACGAATATGATTTTAATCTTTCGAAACCACCCAAAAAAACCCGGAGCAACAAGTTTCAAGCAAATCCGATTGATTTATATCTTTTTTCAGCAGCCATCTTGGATCCGCCATTTTAAAATTTGACGTGATAGGGAAAATCTAGCAACAGAGGCGAATTCAGCGAAAAAAAAGTGGTTAAAATTGCCTTTTTGCATTTTTGGGTCCAAAAGTTAATCCAAATTTGTAAACCTATATTACTTTCAAAATTCAAATTCTTCAGAACAATTCTTCTTTTAAAGGGGTATTTAATATATCACCCAATAAAAAAATATTCATTACCTCCAAAAAAAACCTAATTTCGCAACAAATGTACACATGGTACAAAAATCAATAGTTTACAGAATCAACAAAATTTATCTATGACCAGTAAGTGCCAATCAACTTGCAGTGGAGGTCAATAATTGAAAATTAAATCCATTTTCAATCACGTACGGTGATTATGTTGTAAATCAAAATAAGACCTATTTAAATTAAATTCCCATCTGTGTGTGTATGCATTTACCTTACACACAATGTATAACTCTGAATTCGTTAATTAATGAAATAATAAATTTACAATCGATGAAAAGTTCAGAATAAAGACATTCAATTTTTATCGCGGTTTCTACTATTAATTTTAGGCATTTTTCACTAAAACTGTTGTTAAAAAAATTGTTGCTATAAAATAAAAAAATTAAATTCTCTTTACTAACCCAATTTCTAAACTTAAAATACAAAAAACAGATTTTTCCACTCCTGCAATTTTAATTTTTGTCCTATTTAATAAACAATTCAGATTCGATTACCGCAATTAAATAGTAACGATTTTACTGATTTTTAGCAGCAAACTACTTATTCAATAGCAGAATTCTGCAAATTTGATGGTGTAATCCTGTAATCTCTACTATAATTGAAATAGTGAATCTTTCAAGTGTGGAAAACTGCTAATTCAGATGTAGAGTATTAAGTGTAAATACAGAACACCTAACTCACACTATATAATATTAAACAGTGGATGGAAATAAATGGGAAAAAAATGCACAACGTAGAAACGTTTTTACCTTTTTTAGAGCGTTGACGATTAGGATAGTAGCACAAGGTTCATACTTTTATATCACAAGTGTATCTCTAAGAGAATTTTATTACTTTAACTTTTATCGTCAATAACACACCGCAGTGCAGTTCTTGGTTGCCAATATCATGTCTTTGACCTTCGGACAAGAGATTGTGTGTATATAACAGTTTAAGAGTGTATTGTATATTCTCAATGCTCATTAGAGCTTATTACCATCATGGACAGTTGTAAATTTCTAGTCAACATGCATAAATACAACTCTTTACAGGAAATGTTTTCGCCAAGTGTACACTATATGGTATTTATCAAGAATGCTTCAAATCACCAACAGTTTAATCGTACATATCGAAAAAAAGCGACAATTTTTTTTTCTTTTATTTTTAAACTTTTCACTTTGAGGTGTGCAATGCATAACCCTTTACTTCATCGATTGACCTGCTAACCTAGACCATGGAAAGCAAACACTTTCTAAGAGTGGTATATATGTGTGCTTCTAATGAATCTCGTACGAATTTTATAAGATATTTGTATTTCTAATTTTATTTCTATTTCTAATTTCTATTGTAATATTTCTAGTAGGAATTCTCTATAATATTTTCAGGAAGAATTAAACGGATTATGAAACAGACCAAAGTGGAAAAGAAGAAACAAAATTTGAAATTGTGATAATTTATCTTCATGCATTAGAAACAGTTTATAAAATTCTTCACTATTTATTAAGATTAATGGTGTTAAAGACTTACCAGTTAGGAGTGATTATTCATCCAGATGTTGCTTATTCTCTACCCTAGAACAAACAAGAAATGATAAATTTAAAAAGGTTCCTGAAGTTAGGAACATAATTTTAAACATAATTTTAAAAAGTACTTGAACAGAAAAAATATTTCGATCATGAATGTTCAAAACTTTACAGAATAATAAGTAAATAATAAATAAATAAATAAAAATAATAAAATAATAATAAAAATAAGAAAACGTAAAATTCTCTCGTCAAATTGTTTAGATCATCAACAGGTTGATATAAAATAGCAATAAGGATAATATTTGAAAAGAGGGATTCAGAGAAATATTTATACTAGATTTATTACATGGCACTTTCAAAAAAAAGAAAAAAAAATATTTTCCTCTACCTTGAAATGACACACATTGACGATAAAACACTCGAAAATCAACGATCAAAATTAATCTCCAACCGTATAATATATAACACTATACTCTTGAAACATAGCCAACTTTGCGCAAATCTATTTGGCGTATAAACCCATAGCAGTAGAAAATTGACATTATTTCTAAAGTCACTTGAGCCTGGTATTATCAGCTTCAAACAGAATATCCAATAGAATCCCAAAACAATTATTGAGATTAGTATTTGCCCACTTGTTTACGAGTTAACTCAATTAAAATCCATTACATTGTTAAACACTAAATTAATATCGTTGTAATTGAATTTTAATATTTGTTGTAATTGAAAGAGGTTAAGTGGGTTTTGTTGTTAATATAATTAATATGTCATGATTAATATGATATGATTATTACGATGTAATTATTGAATCACATCGTTGTAATTGTAGGAAATTATTTTTTAACTCGGAAAACTTTAATCCTGATGTCTTTTTACTTCCAAATTTTTTACAGTGATGGTATTTGGGTAACAAAAATTTTGTTATTGTGCATGGAGAGAAAAATCTAGCTTTAATAGTATGACACTACCTATACTAATTTCGCATGACTATTGTCACGCTTCAAACGCATGAATTCATACCCAAAAACCATGGGTCCACGCTTCACCATGGTTTTTCGGTATGTTTTCATGCGTTTGAAGCGTGACTATAGTCCATGCGAAATTAGTATAGGTAGTGTCATACTATTAAAGCTAGATTTTTCTCTCCGTGTGTTAATAAAATTGTGGTTCTTATTACCAAATTTTGGTTCGTCCAACCAAAAATTACTTTTCCTATTATTTGGTTGTGTTAAACAAAGTTTTGTTGGGCCAATCTAAATTTTTACTGATACAAACAGAAAAATTTTGGTTGTTTAAATACCAAGCAAATGTTTTATTGCTGAAACCTAACGCTTTTCTGAATTCAGAAACTAAGAACATTCTATTATTAAATAGATTAATAACATTAACAATATTCTGCTACTGATAGCATTAACAACGTTCTGTCACTAACAACATTACCAGCATATTGTTACTAACAACAGTAAAAACATTCACGACGTTGAAGTCCACAGCGTTTGTCAACGAAAAAAATTGTGCACTTAGTAAATTAATAAAAGATAACGCAGCAATATTGCCACAAAAATATTTAGAAAAAATAGACTGCGATGTTTATGATCTGATAATAATTGTTATACAATTAAATATTAAATAAAAAATAATATTGAAATAGATTAAATAAATTTTTTTCGTTGATCAACGTTGTGGACTTCAACTTCGTAAACATTCTGATACTAACAACATTATCAGCATATTGTCACTAACAACAGTAAAAACATTCTGATACTAACAACATTCTGTTATTAAATGCATTAAGAACATTCTGTTATTAAAAGCATTAGCACCATTCTATTATTAAGAGCATTATTAACAACATTCTGTTACTAAGAACATTACTAGCATGGTGTTACTAATAACTACATCTACACGCTAAAAAAAGTTCTACTATATTAGAGATAACATTCACTATAATAGCTATAAGTTTCACTGATTTGGCTCCATCGATAATCCATTTTCGCTGATCCAGCGAAAATGATATTTCTTGCGTTACCCTTTTGAAAACAACACAACCTCAAAATAACACTTGAATGAAAACATTTTTAAATTAATGTTCAAAGCGTATATTCAAATTCTATTAATTATATTTTTTATGTTATAACTAATAAAATGTAAAATTAGTAAATTAATACGTATTTAGAGGTAAGAAATGTAAATTTGACATTTGTGATTTTAGAGAAATTTCTATAAGAATGGTAAACTGTCAAATATTTCCAATATGGCTGACCAGTTATATTCATTTTCTCTATATCAGAGAAAGAGTTTGACTACTGCATTGGAAATCATTCACTGAATTAGTTGCATAGATTCTTTATATTATTTATTTTCAAAATTAGCTGTATCCCACAGTAAAAATTTTTTTCCGTGTACATTCTGATACTATAACATCATTCTGTTATTAAATTCATTAACAGCATTCTAATACTTACAACTTTTTAATAAAAGCATTAACAACATTTTATTTACTAAGAACATTACCAACCTACTGTTACTATTAATATTAACAACATTCTGTTATTAATAACAATATCATTCTGTTATCAATTACATACAAATAAAAAAAAACCTGAGTAGACTTGATTACTTTTTAACTATGTACTCTAAATAATTGAATAGGTCTTTAACTGAATTTAAAAAGTTCTATTGATTACCAAAAAGTAGTTAAAACAACAAAGAATACAGTTGACACAATGAGATTTTGAAGTTATTTGGGAATGTAACTACGTATTTATGTCAATTTATTGATCTACTATTTTTCCCCCTTTTTAAAAAAACAGTAAAATCAACGGCACAAACAGGGTTACATTAACTAAAAAAGTAATTAATTTAACTATTTTTCACTTACTAACACAACATTAGTAGAATTTCTCCACTAAATTTTTTCACTGTTTTGTTATTTATTACATTAACAACATTCTGTTATTGATAACATTATTATTCTGTTATTAATAACATTCTGTCATAATACCATTAACAACAATCTGTTATTAATACCATTAGAAAAATTCTTTTATAATTACCATTAACAGCACTCAGTACTTAATTACATTAACAACGTTCTGTTATTAATTACATTAATGTAAATTAAATTAAATTAATTACATGTTATATTAAATATTTATCATTTTGTCCTACAAAGAATACCCTAAATAATACTTTAGCTACGGATGATTATGTTATGCTACAGAAATTGTGACATAAGCGACAATGTTACTTTTAGTTTTTTGAACAAGAACAAAAAGATAATCAAGAAGAAGATTCAGAAGCTTTTGAATGTTTAAACTTTTAAAGAATACTCAAATGATCATTATAGTTATTTAATTATTTACTTCCTTCATTAATCAAAAATAGTTGAAGTTCAATGTAACCAAATTTGGTGCCAATTCGGATTTAAATTAATGTCTGCAAATTTTCGGTTGTTGTGTTTTTATCGAAGAAGAACAAGAAGATTAAACTGCTTTTGGGTGTTTGAAGTATACTTTAATCATGATAGTTACTTAATTATTCACTTTGTTCATTAATCACAAAAAGCTAAAGTTAACTCTATCAGAATTTGTTGCCAATTCGGATTTAAATTGATGTCTGTAAATTTTCGGTTTTTTGAGTAAGAACAAGTATGAGGACAATAAGCTTTTGTTTGAATTATACTTAAATGCTTGAAGTTATTTAATTATTGACACTTCTTCATTAATCAGAAATATCTAAAGTTAAATTAATCAAGATTTGGTGTTTGCATGTAAATTGTTGTCTAAATTGTTGGTTATGTTTTTCTTAAATAAGAACAAGAAGAAGAAGAAGCTTATGGATTTTTAAAGTATACTTGAATGATAATTAAAGTTACTTAATTATTTACTCTTTCTCATTAATCAAAAACAGCTAAAGTTAAATTAACCAGAATTTGGTGGCAATTCGAATGTAAATTTTCAGCTGGGTTTGTGTTTCTGAAGACGAACAAGAATAAGAGCAGAAGAAGCTTTTGGATGTTTGAAGAATTCTTGAATGATCATTAAAGTTATTCTTTTTCTGAAAGTGTACAGAGGAAGGACGCGCGTTCCAAGTTTCAAGTGCCTATTCGATGTAAATTCGTCTGGTGGATACCGTCGGAGAACCCCTTATTCAGAAAGCTACCGTTATAGAACTACTATATCGGTATCCTATGTGCGCGTTCAAACTGAGATCAATAAAGCACTCCTTTATAGACTTCACTACACGCGGTACAAGCTTGGCCAACCCCTTCTACCTTCTGGCATCTCTCTCTTTCTCTCTTACTCTATCTCTATGTGTTTCTCTCTTACACCCGCACAGTGTTTCTCTCTTACTCTCTCTCTTTCTCTCTATCTCTATCTCTCTTACTCCCTCTGTCTTTCTCTCCTACTCTCTCTCTCTTTCTCCCTAACTCCATCTCTCTCTTTCTGCCAATGCTTTCCCTAATACCCCTTTCTCTATTTCTCTGTCTCTCTCTGTCCCACCTCCCTGAAAACCGCTTCCCGGCCACACACTCCGTGCAAACCCCCGTCGCAACTCGTCGTTCAAACTGCTCGGCATAGCGAGTGCCATAAATAACCGAATGACCCACCGCGCGAATAGAAGGAATCTAAAGCCAATGCAACGTCGACAGAACCCACGAATTCTCAACAAACTTACAAATTCTATTTCGTTATTTTCCATGTATACCGATTTGTAATTACCCCCAAATTTCCACAATTTTCTATATATGCCAAATATTATATACTCTTTGTTAATTACCTAACCTATATCCCTAACTTTAGTGTAGCTGTAGTTTATTTATTAGCACTAAATCAGTCTTTAGGTGCCATTAATCAAAAGCAAATTTCAGAACTGAAAGCCAACAAATCAGTTCGGTAATTAACTTTTAGCCAACTCAATTTCAATTTCACTGATTTACTATTATTTTCAGGGTGAGACAGTGATTTTATATCACTGATTTAGTTGATAATAATATAAGTTGACAATAAATACACTCTCTAAATATGAATCAGATAAAAATA